AGGATTGGAAAATGATCCTGGTTGTCTTGTTGGTATGGAGGGTACTTAGTTCGATGACGCCGGTGGGGTGACATTAAGTGACCTTGAATATTGGCACTGGAATTTGCCATTGTTTCTAACATCCAAGATGACTAAATATTAATAATATCTTTTTCATTTATATTTTCACCATATAGTCATGTTACAACATGACAACAGCGATCAAAGAAGATAGCTTGTCGAAAAATGAATTTGTCCAGCTATAATAGTGATTGTGTGGTTAGAACCTTGTACAACACGTAGTGAAGGTCCTATTTTCTCCTTAGAACCCTCTCCATGTTTTACGATAAATGTTATTCTAAGACCTAAACATCACAAAGCCTCTGCCTTACTAGATTCAAGAGCCTCAACATGTTTCTTAGATTAAGAATTTGTTAAAAGACATAGCATACTTTTAGTGAAGAAGACAAAAGTTGTTCATGTAGAAGTCATACATGGTCGTCTATTGTCTTCAGGAGACATTACTCATGAAATCCTTTCTATAGAAGTAGCAATTAATGGTGATAGTAGCTTTATAATATTTATTGTCATTAGATCTCCTTCTAATCCAGTCATTTTAGGTTTATCATGGCTAAAAAAATATAATCCTAAAATAGATTGAACTTCTTGTAGTCTTGACTTTTTTGAAAGTATAACTAAGAACATAATTAATCAAGTAGAAAGTCATAAGTCTAGTACAATTAAATTTGTATTTGTAGGTACTAGAACTTTTTTGCATGCTGCAAAAAAAGAATCACCTTGTGTTATTTATGCCATACTTATTTCTATTAGTGGAAAGACTTTAAGTAGCATTCCAAGCTAATATCAAGATTTTTAAGATGTATTTGAGAAGAAAAATATGGATATTCTTCCTGAACATCATTCCTATGACTGCTCAATTGACCTTCAAGAAAGAGTAAAATTGCCATTTGGACCATTCTATAATTTATTACAAAATGAGTTGGCTGAACTCAAGGAATATATTGAAGAGAATCTAGTGAAGAACTTCATATGCCATTCCAAATCTCCAACAGGAGCTCCAATTTTATTTGTGAAAAAAAAAAGATGGATCATTGTGGATGTCTGTCGATTATCGAGGACTCAACAAAATCACCATCAAGAATAGGTACCCACTACCTTTATTATCTAGACTCCTTGATCAATTGAATTAAGCTAAGACCTATACAAAAATAGATCTATGAGGAGCATATAATCTGGTATGCATCAAAGGAGGAGATGAATGGAAGACTATATTTCAAATAAAGTATGAAAATTTTGAATACAACGTCATGCCTTTTGGACTTACAAATGCACTAATACCATTCCAACATCTAATGAATGATGCTTTTTGAGAGTTTTTAGATGATTTTGTTATCGATTACCTAGACAACAGCTTAATCTATTCTAAGAACATAGAATGATATGAACTTCATATTTGTTGTATGTTATAAAAACTAAGAGATGCGGGACTCTATGCCAAGATAGAAAAATATATATTTTATACTACTCAAGTCGACTTCTTAGGATACATCATTTCAAATGATGGGCTTATAATGGATCCTTAGAAAATTCAAACTATTATGGATTGGAAAATCCTAAAAATGATAAGAGATGTTGAATACTTTTTAAAATTTGCCAATTACTATCAAATCTTTATTAAAGACTTCCTTCAAGTTAGAGCTCTACTTATACGTTTGAGTTGTAAAGACAAACTTCAATAAAATCAAGAAGTAGAAGTAGTATTTGAAGCTTTGAAGATAGCCTTTGTTTTTGTACCAATCTTATATTGCGTCGATTATTCTAAGCCATTTTTTATAGAAAAACACACATCAAACTTTGCTTTGAGTGTCATATTATCATAAATGGGAACAGATGATAAACTTCATCCAATAGCTTTTCATTCCAAAAAAATTTCAATAGTCGAGATCAACTACAAGATCCACAACAAAGAACTTCTTGTAATCATGGATTCGTTTCAAGAATGGCGCCATTATCTAGAAGGTGCTTCTAGTCCAGTCATTGTATATACAATTCACAAGAACCTTGAATATTTTATGTCATCACCTATTATGAATTGTCACCAAACATGTTGGAATATGTCTTTGTCAAGATTTGAATTCAAGATCACTTATCAACCAAGAAAACAACAAGGTTTGTCAGATGCACTCTCTAGACAATCTTACCTTATATCAAAGGAGGTGGATGATATTTTTTATCATCAACGGACAATTCTCTTGAAACTAGAGCATCTTTATCTTCGAGCAATGAAATCAATACTAACTGTTGATTCAACTTTTACTAAGCAAGTTCAGTTAAGTATGTCTTCTGATCTTCTTATTCGTGATATTAAGGAAAATCCTTCAAAGTCTTATGGTACTTTTAAGTTTGAATTCAAGACCAATCTACTATATTTTGAAGGACGCCTATATTTTCTAGAAGGTGAAGCTTGATTACGTGTTCTTCAAGCTCATTATGACTTTCCAACAGCAAGACATTTTGGGTATAGTAAAACTTTAGAACTAATATCCAGGGACTTTTGGTGGCCCCAAATGTGGAAATCAATCAAAGATTTTGTACAATATTATGATATTTGCTTAAGACTCCTTGTCATCGACCTTATGAACTTTTTTAATAAATATATATATATATATATATATATATATATATATACGTATTTAAAATTATTAAAAATTTAAAAACTATTTTTAAAATATACATGTGGACATATATTTTAAATAAAATTTTATTTCTTTGATTTAAAATTATATATATATATATATATATATATATATATTATAAAAAATAAGCACCATATAATTTAGACTCTTTTGATTTTGTTTAGAATATATTTTACAAAAATTGCTTATATCCATAATAATGTTTTCATAGGAATTTTAATCATTTTATATATAATCAAGGTTCTCTTGTTTCAAATATATTTGACTTTTCTACAATCCCATATCAATGGTTGTATTGCTATATTTTTTGTTGGATTAAAATAAAATTAAAGAAGGTGCATTTATTTATCTATTCTATATAATTTAATTTAGGATAGCCTTAGTATTTCTAACCAAGTGACTTTTTAAGTGCCACACTTTAGATTTTGTATTTAGAATAAGATTTTTGAAATAGAATTGTTTTTTTTTTTTTTTTTTTTTTTTTTTTTTAATCTCTTTGAATCCAATCTATACTTGAAGGTGGTTGAATTTTTCTTTTTTTAAAGCCTATCAAATCAAGTAAAATTCTTAAGGAATATTGAAACCAAAAAAATTAGTTACTTAGCAATAAACTAAATTCTTGCTCCATTTTGTTACTAGACTTGATGTAAAGTCCTTTTGCATTAAAAATATGTTTAATTCTTTGCATGTCTTTTTTATAAAGTTCCGCCCATTTTTTAGAATTGTATATAATTTGGAATTATTAGAAATTGAATATCCTTTAAAATAAATTTAAAATAAGGATTTGATGGCACTTGTTTTAAATTAGGTGCTATTTTTGCCTAGGAGTATTTTATTCTTTGTCAATTTATTGATCTAAAGTCCTATTTATATTTGATTGTACACTATTTATTATACAATTTATACACAATTGATTATAGATTTATAGACAATTGATTATTTATTTCTACAATTGATCTAGAAGTGATTAATTTCTATAGTATAGTCACCACTTCATTAGACTTTTGGTGTTGCCAACACTAATCTACAACTTCTAAGAAGTTTTATATAAGAGTGACTTAGTGGGAGTACCAACATGACCCACTTTGATAACAAAGCCATCATTTCCTCTTCTAGATCAATTGTTTTAAGTCTTCCTTCGTCTCTTGTTTTCAGCTAATCAAGAGTTTTTTAAAAACAGATTTATCAGAAAATTCCAACGTTCAATTCTTTTGTTCTAAACTAAACAGGGTTTAAAATTTTATAATAAAAAAACATTTTATAAAATATAACTATGGTCCAAGGAACAAGTAATATTAGTAATAAAAGGAAAAAAAGAAAGGGGGGAATTAAATAGAGGGGAAATAATATAATGCAGAAGCATGAAAAATAAAAATAAAAGGTATATATTTTTTTAATTTTTCAGGAAACAGCAGTCAACCAAAACAGTGAATATCCTTGATGAGGTACAATGTACTGATAATAAAATATTACTGTAATAATAATAATAATAATAATAACTTAAATTGTAAACAGAGATGTACATTTCAATGATACATTATTCAAATATATTTCAGATAAGATTGAAAATACACAGAAATAAAGAATCTATTGACAATACAATTTAAATTCTGTAAGATGATTACAACAGGAAAGAAAAAAAACTACATTTTCAGCTACAAAAAAATTTGTTGTAGAAACCAACAGAAATCAACGTACCAATTCAAGACAAAATGTTTAATCTAGTATCATTTCACAAGTCGACATTGAGCTCCAAATTGTTATAAACCAAGACGCAATAAACACCATTCAGCTAGAAGATGCTTTTCAATTAATATCAATCAAGATGTTAAAAAGACAGGGTGATGGACAAACATACATCTTGATCACCAATCAGGACTGCTCTTCGCAAATTAGTAGAGGAGAATTTGCAGACGCAGCAATGTCGGAACCAATTCATGTCAAAAGTAAGTTTTAGAATTTACTGTAAAGTATTACTCATGTACAGTGCAATCGTACGACTTGGCAATCTAAATTTCTAAATGATCTTGTACTGCAGAATACCATCAATGATAGTGAGAATAGAGTTTGCCGCAATGTAACAAGTTTATGATTAGCAGAAAGAGAGGGATCGCATGTTTCAGGTTTACACTCCAGTTAAGTATCAAACATACAAAATTGGTCAAAATATTTTCAGAAAGTACCCTGCCATTATATCATGATTGCTGATGACAGATATTGAGTGAGAACCTATAGTCTATTACACTGTTAAGAAAATACTTCAATAAGTGACTTCGCGTGTCGAAGGATTTAATTCTCATCAGGTTGTTAGCAAGGATAAATTTCATCAGCTCAAATTCAATTAAAGACTTCCATAGAGTAACACTATTTAGGAAAATGTGCACAGCCACACTGGTCCACTACATTCGCTCCCTTTTCGCGACTACTTTGTAATCATCCACAATTTCGCTGATTTCAGAACACCAAGACTTCATTCAACAGTTTCCGAAAAGCGGATTTATTCATCAACACTTTCTCCCTAACAATGCACACCACTATCCCCGCACTCAACCGCACGGTCCATCTTCGCGCCTCTCGTGTATTCTACAACAGTTTCCGTCCTGCAACTTCCGACGCCCTGATCGACACCGCCACATCCACAATTCGCACTGGATGTACCACACCGACGTCCGACTCGTCGCTTATTCCACAGGAATTCCCTCAGACGTCCTTTCTCTCCACCTCCAAGCTCCAATCACCTCACACTACTCTCTGTTTACATCCCACCATCAAGGTCGACCTATCCCTACTCCATGCCACCCGCACGCTCTCCGCCGTGTCTACCACCCCAACCACTTATCTCCGTTCACGAACTTGCGGGTCATGAATGGCTCCGCTTCCTTCTTCGTCAACTCCCTCGACCATTTCGCACGTCCGCTCCTGATCGACCCAGGCCCCGAGCACAAGTACTCCCCGTAGAACACCGTCTTCTGCCTCGCAGGGTCGTTCCAATCTTGCCACCCGATGGGCAGGATCATATCCGCCATGTAGCACCGGATGAACACCGTCCGGGAGTGACTTCCCCACGCACGTCCCAGGTAGATTGTCCCGGAACCCGAAATGTGGCAACCCACGAACGAGAATCCCGACGGAGACTCAGCGCTCTCCCGCTTCTGCGCTGAAATCGACCCACTGTTCTGGAATGCGATCGACTTGATCTTGCACTTGTGGAACATAGCCGTTCCGTCCCCAAATATGAAATCGATCGACCCGATAATGTGGCACTCGCGGAAATAGTGACGTCCCTCCTTGGAGTACAGTGTGTCCTGAGCCCCGTAGAAGAAGCACCGGTAGAACGCTCCCTTGTCACCTTGGATGCGAAATGCCACGGCCTGCTTCCCCACGGCGCCACCGGGCGGTGCGGGCGCAGTATTCACAAACGTGCAGTCCGTCGCCAAAAAGTTGTCGCCTGTCACTGCTGTCGACGCACTCAGAGACGTGCTTCCAGCCTTCTCTGCAGTATCGCCCCATGCCAAGATGGTCCTCTTCCCCGAGCACTTGAAGTACACGTTGTCATGCGGGACATTAATCTTCTCACTGCACCCACACACACCACATCGTTACCTCACTCCCCCACACCTCAACTTGCTTCACTACACAAGCACCCGGAACTACTACGTCCACCTCTTCTCTATTCCCACATCGTGCAAAACCCTGCCCACATTACAACCTCATGTTTCAACGAACCTGTAGTAGCCGTTCATGATATGAATGGTGACTCGCTTATTGTTACCCTTCGGTATCGAGTCCACAGCATCCTGGATTTTCGTGAAGTCTCCTTTGCCGGACTTGTCCACCACAATGTACAATTTCCTCGCACCATCAGAGTTCGAATCATCATCCCCCATCGTACCCATCACTCCGGACATCTCTGGCGCAGATTCTCGCTCGTTCACCTTTGCAGTTATTTGTCCGATCCAGTCCTCGAAACTGCCAGTCTCCGCTGCCTCAGACGCCGCGAACAGACATGCAGACACCAGCCCAAACACGACGAAGTAGCTGAGAACCCGAAGGGCTGCCATAGTGACAGTCCTGTGAATCCCGCAACAGATCGATCAACAATCACAACCCCTACAGTCTACACACATTCAATGAGGTCCAATTGATTCAAACCAGCGAGACTGTTATCTGCTTGACTGAGACATAGACTCATCTTATACGCGCAGACTGTACAGACTGGGTTGGTTTGAAAGTGAGGGCACCTCGAAGGCATTCAGACTTGGCTGAGAGTGACTAATGTTTTACGCGTGGAGGTGTGTCAACGTGGGCTTGCGATGCTTCATCCGACCCAAAGCGATCCGTCGATTTCGGAATGAAACAAGCAAAGAATTGAATACGGCATTGACGAGACAATTGTGGTTTTTATTAGAATATCACAGTTGTATAGAAGAATTACCACCTCAACAACAAAATAATGTTTCGCAGAAGTCAACATAGATCAAAGTAGCATTTGACCACAATATCTTGGACCTGAAATGATTCAGCAATCCAACATCCACTCCTTCATGGATGTCAAGTAACAGGCAAGAAAAGTCCAATGAGTGCGAAGAGACTTATAAATTGGTGATCATCATGTTGTCAAACAAATCAGTTTGTTTCTAGATTATATAATCTACTAATATCAAGAAAAACTTAAACAAGTCTAAATGTTTAAATAAAAAAATGTCAAGGATTTAGAATTCGGAGACAAAATATGACTTGGATATAGTAAGAGTTATGAATGATTAAAGTCTTATATTGTATTGATAGAGTTTGGTATATGAAGTAAGAAATAGGTGCCATCTAAAACCACCAAAGGCACCACAATTGTCAAATAAGAATAACAATGAATACATGGCATAGGAGATCCACTACAGATATTGTATTGTCATAAGTAAAACAATACTAAGTATTAATTGTAATGTAGTGTATTGTAGAATAAGAAACTATTAAGAATAATTAAAAGAAGAATAAATGAAAGGTACTATAGAATTACAAATAAATAAATAACACAAAAAAATAATACAAATTAGAGGTTAACTCAACAACAAAGATTGTCCAAATACTAGAGATTGGCAAAAAACCAAAACATTAGTTTGATATCAAGGGTTGACACAATAGTGAATGTTGTTACAATATATACTTTTAAATTAAGATTTCACATTTTTTTTAACTTATTTTCAAATGTTGTGGTTCTATAGAACTGTAGCAAAGAACTGTGGCAAAGAAAAAAAAATGTTCAATGGTACAACCTGTGCAATGGAACGGTAATGGCAATTATTCCGCTCATGGTTACTTTGTGGAAAGCAAATCAACTACCAACAGAGAACATACCAACGAAACACACAGAATGTGACAAGAATGCAACAGAGCAGCTGTATGGAGACAATGAATCCGTGTCGAAGAGCTGGCTCCCGGGTGGAGATGGAGGAAAGAAACATGACCCCTTAATTACACTCCTCGAATTAGCATCTCACTTCTTTCTCGTGGCGCACAGGCCGATCCCATAAAGTTCAAGCCAAGCTGGCATGGGGGATGCGTCCACAGTGTCCTTTTGTTCCCAAGAAGTTTGACATAGTTTTGTTGCAAATAGAATGCGCTCTGGAAAGTAGTCCATGCCAACTTGCAGAGTAACTCAGTCATCGATGTATGGAGAATTGTGACAGGCGACCCATGACATGTAACCGCGGTAATCGAAAAATGGGAGGAACGGTCATTTCGGAACTGAACTCCTGGAACATCCATGGAATCTTTACAGAAAGCATGTGTTGGTTGTGAGTCTATCTCGGCATGGACCGCAACCAGGAGAGTAGGTGGCCAAGCGCCGAGGGGTTGGTATGAGCTGCACGCATAGAGACTGAAGTAAGACAGACTATTTATACTCCGTCTGAATGCAATTAGATTGCACGATCTAGGGGATGGTGCTGACGATGCGTTGTTGATGATACTGCTGTTGCCTGGGACTCGCAGGAGATTTTAGAACCTTTTCTGTGTTCAAATAGAATTACTTCAGGTAGGGTGTGACTTTGCTCCTCTGATTACCTAAGCCAAATGTTTGACCCCTTCTTCGTCGGCAACCTGGATGCGAAACTCCGAAAGCCGCAGTAGCGAGGAGGGGCCATGGGCTCCGCAAAACCCGATTAGGGGGACTGAGCGGAACAGTCCGCCGCTCAACCTAGCCGCCGCACACTGTGTGTCCACATCCTCAAGCGGCTCAGCCAGCACCCACAGGGTCCAATCACTCGGTGCAAGGCTGTCACATTTTTGCTAGGATCCTCAGAGATAAGCTTCGTGCTGATTTCTGAGGTGAAACGTGGAGCTGTGGGATTAGGGTTAAGGGCCCGTGGCCGTGATTTATTTGTTTATTGTAACTTGCAGTATTGAATGCTTGTACAGTTACAATGGCATCTTATGTAGATCCCATCAAGGGCGAGAGCCAGATGGAGCGATACAACCGCATATGTCACGAGGCTAAACAGGCATGGCTAGTGGAGTCAAGGATCAAATCGTTGGCTTGGAGGATGCACTCACTAGCGTCGTTGCCTAACAACCCAATGCAGTGGAGACTCTCCATCCTACTAAGGCCCAATCAATCGAAGCTCTCTTCGATGGATACTGCTGCAGTTATGCTGAATTCCTGCTTTAGAACACCACTAGAATCATCTCCTTGGACCAATCAATAGTCAAGTAGGAGATGGACTTCTTCTCCAACTTAGTAACCAGAGCGTTGTTGTGTTGGAAAGTAGTATAACATGTAAAAATAATATAAAATATTATAAAAATTTGAATTGTAATTAAAAATAAAATAAAATAAAATATTTTTCTAATTTGTTTAAGTTTGTAGTTAAAATTTTATAATAAAAGATAGAAGTTGTAGGATTTATTAGTAAGAAGTTTGGAAGGGCTTTGGTATCAAAAGTATAATATTTTGACTTCCAAGCCATTTTATGTGGGTAGATAAGATGAGTAATAGAAGACTTCATTCCCATTGGTTGAAAGTCATATCTAATAGGCTTTGCAATATTATCTAAGACACATTAGATGTAATAGGATATGAATAAGATATTTGTATTATTGAGACATAGAAATAAGTAATTAGAGCCATTTTTGAGAAGTTTTTAAAAGTTTCTAAAATTAAGGCTAAGTTGGTGGTTTATGTGGGATCCATCATAAAATATTCTAAAAAGACTTAGGACAGTTATTAAGGTGGAATCCATCTCTAGAAGCTTTTAGAAGGATGATATCAAGGACAAAAATTTGATAAAAGCAAATAAACAAGTGAGACTTTTTCAAAGAAATACGACAAAATAAAAATAAAGAAGTATGTATATTAAAAAAGAAACTAGAATGGCTATTGCTAAAAGACAATAAAACTAGAGAGTCATGAAATTAGACTAGAAGCAAGAAAGGAATTGATAAGAATGAAGAAGGCTTTACTCTTGCTTCTATATATACTATCTACTTAGGATCTATGTGGCGACATTCTATAGGACCTCGAAAAACATATTGACTTTGTATGACACATATCTTAACTTACAAGGCAAGTTTTTTATATGGGCACCACATAATTAGCTTGTTCTATAAGCTATTAATACATATAAAATGTAGTTAGCTTATTGACTAAGTTTCTAATCTACCAATCAACTACAAACACATGTCAAAACAATGTCTACAAAGCTTCTAAGAAGCTTTTGTAGAAGGTATTATGAAATAAATCTATTTTTACATACTTCTACTTATTTATATTACATAGGTAATAATTATAGTAGATATATATATCCATAACATTATCCCCTCTTTTAGATACGAGTTCAACAAGGAGTGGTGATCACATTTTTAAGAAGTCTAAGATGCAAAAAATTGTATTTGCCACATCCTTTGATCTTTATTTTTTTTAAAGGTAGTTGATAGGTCCTCTCAACCACTGATAATGTTCCATTTTAAGGCAAAAAGACTACCTTATTATTTGATCATTGTTGAAACCTTTGTAACTTTCTTCAAACAAAACATTTGTAATACTATCATGAATTGTTCCTACTTTTAATAAAATCACCAAACATTGAGAGTTTCTTCTTAGGTCGTGATATCAAATGCATTGTATCTTGCCATTTATTCAAAGAAGAACATGTCGTTCTTGAAGGACTTCATTCCTATTACATCATCTTAAAGGTTGTAATAATCACAATGTCTCATTTGATAAGTTAGCAAATAATGGTTCTTCAGTTAAATCCATTGGCTGTTAGTTCTCCATCTCATTAATGCTACAATTATACAAAAACTACAAATAAGGATAGAAGTTAAAATACAATCTTTTCTAAACTCTATTTCTTTTATAGCAAAGGTTTTCTATCCATCTTGGTTTTCATGGATGTCATTGATGAAAAGCTTTGATATTTTCTATTGCATTTGTAAGATTTTTTGCTAGTTCCTATGTATGTTTGCTAATATTATATCTGCACCAATGAATAAAATATTTTAACCTATATGGACATCATCTTAAATCTAAAACTTCTTCTACATCAAATTTTTGATAATTATCTACTTTTATTAAAAGCAGTGGTGTTTGTCTTTTTTTCAAGATATTCACTATCTTATATGGCTCTAAAAGAGACACATAAAATTTGAAATGGATTTTCATAGACTCTAATAGATATAGTCAATAAGCAATTGAATTGACTTATTTACAAATAGGAAATGGTCTAAGTTTATAACAATCAAACTTGTCACGATTATAATAATATATAGATAAGATAATTAAATAAATAATTAAAACCATGGAAGTTTTTAGAATTGGAATTAGGTTACTGGACTAGATAAGATCTATTGTAGAACATTCTAGAAAGGTTTTAGGGTGGTTATTTACATAGGATCCACTATAGAACTTTTTAAAAAAGACTTAAGGTGGTTATCTAAATAGAGCCTATCATAGAATCTTCTAAAAAAGAAGTTTAAGGTGATTATCTAAATAAGATCTACTACTTAGGAACATTCTAGAAAGTCTAGGGTAGTAGGATAAGGTATAAATAGGATTGGCCAGGGCCTTTTCAGGCATTTGATCAAATATGGCTTTGGATCCTTTTTCTTAGTAAAATTTGGTTTTGCATCTTTTTGTTCAAATTTGTTCTATTTTATTTCGGTTTGCTCAATTTTGTCTTTCATGTCCTATTTTGTTTAATTTTGTTCAATTTTATTCTGGTTTATTTTGTCTTATTTTGAGATGAGACCTTATGT